TAATACGGCCTCGGAGGGAGCAAACTGGACGAATAACTCTTGAATGATCGTGATGCATGCGAGCCCAATTGAAAAAATTCGGCCTTGGATGGAGCAATGGGATGTAAAATTTCTCAAAATGATCCCGGTGCATGTGAACTCGATCGAGGTGCGCTTGATGTCGGCGGATCTTACGTGGTAGGGGTGAGCATGGTCCGATGGGCAGTTCCCACCCTAGAACCAGGAACTGCCCACTAAGGACCGGTTCCGAAAAATTGGAATCGGGAACCGTCCGTTGGTTCCACGGATCCACCCAGGAACTGGACTGCTGGTGTAGTCCGGTTCTCGGGTGGATCCGTGGAACCGGTTCCACCATCTAAGGACGGAGATAGAGAGACGAAGACGGAGATAGAGAGTTGGAGACGGTGAGGTGAGCATCGACTGTTAAGAGTGAGAGTAAGAGTGAAAGTAAGCGTGAGGCGAAAGCGAAAGAATATATTTCTCAGTTTAGTGTGAGGCTGTGAGTGGACCAGTACCCACTAGTTCCTAAAAATTGGAACCGGGAACAAGACCGGTTCCGGACAATCACGAGTGGTCCGAGCAATTCTCGGTCTTTTGCACATCTCTATTACGTGGGACCTAGAACGTCCAAGATGGAAGGTGAAAATCCTTCCTGATCTTTGAAATAAAATGGATGCTGTGGTTTTAAAAGCGAAGGGGATAGATAGAGGGGCGTTTTCGAATGTAGCCAAGCCCATCACTAACTCGTAATTGAATCCTTTTAGCAAGCAAAACGCTTCTAAGATAACTAGTCTAGGATACCTAAACAAGAATGTTTCAACTTTTGTAATATTTATCATGCGTCAAACTAGAAAAAAAAAATCGTTTTATTCCATAAAATATCTCGCGTCTTTCCGACCAAAAAAAAAAAAAAAAGAATCTCGCGTTTTGTTGAGAAAGATATTTCATAGTTAGATCAATTGTCACACGGGTCGGTGCGGTCATGTCACGTATTTAGTCATGCCAATTATCACGAAAGGTAGGTCAAAACTCGAGTCTGTCTTATCAAACGATTAACCTTTTGAAGTTGCTTAGCCCAAAAAATAGGACCGGTCACCTGTAAGAAAAGTTAATGGAAAATTCCCCCGGGGGGTAAACTAAAGTTAACCGTCGAGATCATTACCACACGATCAACATCATAAGACTTGTACGAACATCTTTCATTCATAAAGTTCTTCTTGTTCCCCATCAACACGAGGCCGATCGGCCGGCCGGCCGGCCAGCCAATCCCAGCCATTAAATCTTTGTTTCTCTACCTTTTTTCTCCTGTAATTCCGCACATGGACACGAACCCACCCCCCAACGTCTGGCACCTTCCGAGGACACCCCAAGTTCTAAGTCTTTCTTATCTGCGTTCGGGGCCCCTTTCTTGTCGCGGCGCGTGTTCCGATCTCTCGAAACTCTACACCACCTGCCAACGGCCACCACAAATGTGAACCCGTGAGAACTGAGAAGCATACCTCCAAAAGCTCGAAGGAGGAAAAAAAAAACCACCCCCACGCCTTTGCCCTTCGTCGTATTCGCAAGACTTCGATATAAAATTCGATAAAACGTGCGCATACGACAACGGCCGAACCAGTGGGGACAGGTTGAAATGAATTTAACTCCTGCAGCCATGATATTGTTTTCTCGGTTGATGAACAATGGAACCACGTTTCGAAAAACCTTTGATTGATAATCTTTTTCTTCTATCTTCTCTCTCTCTCTCCCGGAGCCTAATACCCAAAAAAACCTCAAACTTTAGCTTTTGTCCCATTTCTACCTTTTATCTCATAAAAAACCTCCAACTTTAGGTCATGTCCCAATTCTGCCATAAACTTTTTTTTGTCTAATAAAAAACCCTCAATTTTAGGTATAGTCCCAATTCTACCATAATTTTTTTTTGTCTCATAAAAAACCCTCAATTTTAGGTTCAGTACCAATTTTACCCTAAACTTTTTTTATCTCATAAAAAAATTTCAACTTTAGGTCAAGTTTCAATTTCACTCTAATTTTTTTGCTTCATAAAGATCTCCATTAACCCTCCGTCAAAATCGCCCTTAGGATTTTGCGCTTATCGATCTCTCATGCTTAGGAATGTTCCATCTCTGGCGGTCGGATAGTACTTGGGACACTCAAACAGCTCTTGCTTGAGAGATTTCTATATCTTGGTTGTCAACGAGAAATTTTGGACGGAGGGCTAATGGAGTCAGATTTGTGACTCAAGTAAAATTTTGTGATTTTTTATGAGACTGTAAAAATTTTACAGTAAAATTGAGACTGGACGATAAAATTGGGATAAGACCAAAAATTTGAGGTTTTTCATGTGGCAAAAAAAAAGCTTAGGATAAAATTAGGACAAGATATAAAGTTGAAGGTTTTTTATGGGACAAAAAAAAATTTAGGGTAGAATTGGGACATGACCTAAAATTGAAGATTTTTTATGAGACAAAAGATAGAAATGGGACAAAAGTTAAAGTTTGGGATTTTTTTTTTTGGTATTAGGCTCTCTGTGGGTGTGTGTGCGTGTTTCTCGTACCACCCCCGCCCAGTTCACACCTTTCTCGGATACCCAAAAACACAATTGCCAAGAAGCACGTGGGGGTTTGTCCGTTTGCTGGATTTGAAAAAGAGCACTGGTTTCGATTTTTCAATCTGTGCTCTGCTTCAAGAACCTCCTGGCAGAGCATATATGTACCGCCTGTAGGAGTTTCAACACGTGTTTCCCTGTTTTAAATGCTGCGGCAGTTGGCCGATAGATCTCTCTTGATCATTGCTTTTGTTGGTTTCTATGTCTTTGAGGGTCTCGGAAGTCGCTCAGACATGTTACCATGAGCTCTTGGATGTTTGCAACCGCACTCCGCTTTGATGTTTTGGAAGTTTGAATTTGAGAGAGTCGAAATAGGGTTGATCAAGCACCTCGTTTAGATGAGATTAATCTAAATGCCGTTTTCGCCATAGAGATTCGATCCGGTTTGAACTTCAGAGATTCAATCCAGTTTGCTATATGCCGTTTTCGCCTATAAAGATATCCTGATGATATATCGTAACAATAATTGTAAAACAATTATGATGTTACATGATCAAAGTTCACAAATACTTAATTGAGATTGATACTCATATTATATTTCCTAACATAGCATTTGAGATTATATTCAATTTCTTTTTATCCTTTCCTCTATAGAGAGATAACCCTGATAAATGAAAATAACCGCAAAATGATCGCCGCGCTACACATTCAAAATTCACAATTACATGTTCTAACACGGCATTAGAGACTTGCTTCAATTTCTTTTCACCCCTGTTCGCCATAGAGAGAGAGAGACCCGTGATGATGTGAAAATGACTGCCATGCAACACGATCAAAGTTCGCAAATACTCGCCAATCGAATTTTAGAAAAACATCCTCTGAAACAATGTTGGAAAAAAAAAAATTAACTCGTCCATTTTCGGCGATCTTTTTTATGATATGATTGTTATGAGGGGTGAGCTCAGCTATCTCACAATCATCAATATTTCCAACCAATCCTTCGATAAACAGCTTTCAGAGCACACTAGCATCGAAAACTTTAGATCCCCACTAGAACTGTGTGGATGCAAAAGAAGATGAGAATTCTGGATGTCAAGGCACCCATTCCGCTTAAATTAGCCCTTAGAATAGTGCACAAAAAACCAAAAGAAAGACCTTGGAGGACGAGACAAAAAAAATTGTGCCAATTATTCGTCGGTCCTAGCTCAATTATTTGCAACACCGTCCATGATTGGAGCTCCACTAGCACTAACAACGCACCCCCATTGCGTCATTAACTACGACTTCATGACTAATCCATACAATTTTTATTGACCGATGAGTTTGCTGGGTCTATTCAATTCCCATAAAAAAGAATAGGAACGCACATATTTCAACCTAGCTCTATAGATCAAGTTGTGTAATAGAAGAGCCCTATAATGTTTCGTGGGTGTTGGAAAACAAGATGTGCACCGATAGCGATTATGTATGGCTACAGGGACTGATGTCGATGCCCATGGTTTGTCTTGATTCATGTGGAGGAAGTGTGCCTGTTGAGGTTTGGATAAGGACATGGTGTGGGGTCGACAACTAGTGATTGCAACTTAAATTTCAATTACCCTTCATGCGTCTTCCTCTAGATGAGACCCAAAAAAATGGATAAGTGAATGGTAAACTTGTGTATATATAGATATATTAGTGAATTTTGTAGATCCTTAAAGTTTTATTTTCAATTTAACAAGGGAAACAACTGCTGGTGGCAAGTTAGTTCCACCAGAAATTCACCCAAACCTTTTGCCCTAGCAAGAGCTTAACCACGTGTCATGAATAAACCTCTCAACCTAGGTTATCATGTGATTGATTCGGAGAGATATATGGTGTTTAAAAATATGTATGACAATTTATTTAGCTATTGATGGACCTTAGATAGGTGGAGAGTTACAACGATGGGCTCGTACACCTACTGATGGATGGAATAGCCGTGAGATAAATCGAACATTCCGTACCCGATTTGGATTTTTATAGCAGCACTCGAAGGAGGTGGCTGCTCTAATCGCTCCCTTCCCACCCTTTTAACCGTAATTTACTTTTTTTGCCGATCTATCGATTTAATGCAGATTTTGGTTCCTCCCTTCAATTTCGTTACTTACGCATACAAAACATCAATTCACCATCAGGAACAGACGAACTCCTCCAGTGTTGCAATTGTTGGAATCTCCACGCGGTCCCCCATCCACGAAATTCCTGTTCGTTTTCTTCTAATTGTATTCACATTGATCCCATTCAGGTGGTTTGCTTGTACGTTATGGATCAGATCAGCTCGACCACGCAATGTCTCCCGATCATCGGATTAATCGATACGGACTGTGCATGATATTTAGACCGCCGCGCCCCCCTCTTGACGGTGATGTTGTGTGTGGTTCTAGGACCACAAGCTACAACCTTGGTTGCTCATATGCTGGGACGAGAGGACTTGTGTTTTCGAGAGAGTTTCTAGATCTGCGGAGCCGTGGCCGTCGGATTTTCTTTGAGTTTAGTATGCGAATCAAAGGGCGTCATCGAGATACTCGATGATTAAACAACCTGAACTCGTCGAACCGAAATGTTCAGATACCCGTGTTATTAAAGAAAACAACAGCAACTCCGAAAAAACCCATTATTTGCCTTCATCAACCACCATCTCATAAAGAAGGAACTAACCTTTCCCGCACCTAATCTTTAGCATGAACTTCACATGTTAGAATCCTAAAACAGTCTCCAATCACAATAATACACAAGTACCGCTCGATATCGCCTATCCTCCTATCAATACACTCTATTACTTCCCATATCCAACTTTTTTGCTTCTTTCCCTGTGAGGCAAGGCAAGACACAAACCATGATCTTCACTTTCATTGCATCGCAGACTCTCACTACTGCCTTCTTCTTCACAGCCCTCTACTTCCTTCATCTGCTCAAGGACAAGTTCTCTCAACAAGTCGTCAGCTTCTCTGGCCACGGCCCGCCGACCTACCCTGTCATCGGGTGCTTGATATCCTTCTACAGGAACAGGCGCCGCCTTTTGGACTGGTACACCCAACTCCTGTCCCAATCCCCGACCAACACCATCGTCGTGTGGCGGCTCGGCGCCAGGCGCACCATCGTGACGGCGAACCCAGAGAATGTCCAGTACATGCTCAGGACCAACTTCAAGAACTACCCAAAGGGCAGACCGTTTACTGAAATATTGGGAGATTTTCTTGGGCATGGCATTTTCAATGTGGATGGAGAGCTATGGCGAACTCAGCGCAAGCTTGTGAGCCATGAATTCAGCACCAACTCGCTGCGGGAGTACGTGATGAACACGTTGCACGAGGAGGTCGAGAACCAGTTGTCGCCGGTCATGCAGTCCGTATTGACAGAAAACAAGGTCGTGGACTTGCAGGACCTGCTGAAGAGGCTTACATTCGACATGATATGCAAGGTCTCATTGGGGACTGCTGATCAGCACCGTTCGTTGGATCCCACGTTTCCCATTTCTCCGCTCGCCGAAGCTTTCGACGTGTCATCGGAGATTTGCGCTCGTCGTGGGGCCGCCACTCTGTCTCTCTCGTGGAAGATGAAGAGGTTGATCAGAGTTGGGTCAGAGCGGAGGCTGAAGGCAGCGGTTCGAGAAGTCCAGGGATTTGTATCCCGGGTGATTAGGGACAAGATCACGGATATGAATCAAATAGCAGCTTCTGGCAATGACGATCTTTTATCTCGACTGATCTTGGCTGGGCATGATGAGAGAACGATAAGAGACCTTATGATAAGCTTCATAATGGCGGGAAGAGACACGACTTCAGCCGCCATGACATGGCTTTTCTGGATGCTTTCTCGGCATCCAAACATAAAGCAAGACTTGGTGAGCGAAGTCGAACTTGTAGTGAAGAGAAGGAAAGACTTGGACTACGAATCGCTCAAGGAATTGAAGTTGTTGAAAGCGTGTCTCCTGGAGTCCATGAGGCTTTACCCGCCTGTGGCTTGGGACTCCAAGCATGCCGTTGAAGATGATGTTTTGCCCGACGGCACGATCGTGAGATCAGGAGATAGGGTGACCTATTTCCCGTATGGGATGGGGAGGATGGAAGAGCTGTGGGGGAAGGACTGGTTCGAGTTCAGACCGAGCCGGTGGTTTCTCAAACCGGAGAAGGGGACCAGAGAAATAAGGAAGATGTGCCCGTACAAGTACCCAGTTTTTCAGGCGGGGCCAAGGGATTGCATAGGGAAGGAGATGGCTTTTATTCAGATGAAGTACGTGGTAGCTTCGATTCTGCGCCGGTTTGACATTGAACCGGTGAATCGAGGTTCCCCAGTTTTCGTGCCGTTCTTGACGGCCCACATGGCTGGCGGCTTCCCGGTCAGGATTCGCAGAAGAAACATCTTGTAAGCACGACGGTAATGAATTCGTCGGATTGATCGGAGCAAACGGTACCGATTTAAGATCATTGTGTCAATGCTGCAACATCACATTATTCCTTTTTTGGTCCCTCGTAACTCGTCTTTTTCGAGCGATCTTATTGTTATTGCTGCGCATACGCGAGGGTGGAGTCATGTTACGTTAGTCACGCAGTTAAGGTTTGTGTTCGTGAGATCGACCGACCTCAGCATCAGGCATACTGTAGATGATGTGTCTCAGGTGCTAATTCAAGTATGTGTCATCCAGGGGTAGGCTATGATTCGTTGCCTAAATAAAAGTACGTATTCGTGCTCAAAGATGTCGGAAGCCAAGTTGAATTTTTCTAGAGAAGCTTAGAGGGCACATGGGCATTTCGGGATGGATAGGTTCACGTGGAGAAGTCTTTCCAAGCGATAAGAAAGTGAACTGAGACGAGCACTTCTCTTTTTGTGTGGTATTTTATCACGGATGTCCTGTCTAACTGTTGTAGGACCTCTTTCATTTTTCAAATCTTTCTTTCTTCCTTCCTTCCTATTATTATAATTATTTCGTTTTTCATTTTTCAACTCTTAAATGCACCAAATCCATACCAGTCCAAACGATGGATGAGGTGTCGCTAGCTAGCTGAACACATGATAGGAAAAGTTTGAACAGAGATTGTTGCTCTATCCACGGAGATACCTATCTCTAAGGATAGATAAAACCACGCAAGCTTGAACCTGCCGTAATGACTTTTCACCAAACTGTGCTTTCTTGACCCATGTTTTTCTTTTCCCTTTTTGCCAAGCATTCTTTGTCTGGACTTTAGCTATGCACGCTTGTGGAAAAGATAATACATGTTACCACTAAAGAAGGGAATCACTGACCTTATCTTCCATTGAGTTCTCCATTGAGTGATGGATGGATGAAGTCACTTGTATAATTACAAGCTTCACTATCGTTCTGCACTCACAACATTCACAGGAACGACTTCTAAAGCGATAGGCTCCCGAATTGCTTGTTCCATTCCTCATAGATGCCAAGTTCGTTCGTAGAAACTGAGGGCCTAACCTCTTGCAGTGCGTCCTCAAAGTCCTAAATCGATCCGAAAAGTGAGTCAAACTATGCCTCCTTCACGATTGTGCCAGTGCTTGTGCGGCAGTGGTAGCTGTGCATGTCGTTACCTGAAGAGTTACTGGACGCATATCCTCCTTTCTCAGCTTCGTGATTTCTATTCCCTGTCTCAGGGCCTCTCTCAGGGGACCCATAGATGCATCTTTTACCAAATTCTTCATGTCCGATCCTGAATACCCTGAGAACAAATTCTAGGTGAGTAAGGAAATATATCCAAAACAAAACTCAGGAGTTCTCTGTAATCAATGGCCTGCAGCAAACAATTAACTAACTCAGCTTTGGATATGTTAGAGCTAGTACCCTTTGTCAAGTTGCATATGATATTGATATCCTCACTCGAAAGCTTGAAGAGACCATCCTTGTTTAGTAAATTACGTACAATCCAAGCCCTTGCTTCTTTACACCATATAAAAAAGCCGGTTAACCCCGCCACAGTATGTTCAAGAAATAGATAGAGAAAGCCAACACAAGTATGAGTGGCACCTGATGAAGGGAGGGGTATATAGAGTCTTTTGGTCAGTCGCCTCCGTGCTGCTTCATCAAGTTCTTGAGGTCTGTTTGTTGCTCCTTATTATTTAAGAAAACAGCATATCATCCCAATCCATTTTCAATATATTGTGCAAACAAGAACTTGTAACATCATATGTAAATATGTCAGAATAGGAAAGCTAAGAGAAATTAAACATGGAAAGTGAATTGATGAGGAAGTTGACAATGCAGTGTGCTTTTGCCAAGATCCAGTGTAATGAGGTGACCTATTGTCATACTTTAGTATGGTGTATTACTTGCCATTACATTTACATTTACAATAAAAAATAAATCTCAAGCTAAAGAACAAACTGAAAATGTAAAAACTAACCACATAAACAGTAAACTGAAAAATTCAACAAACTTGTTTTACACATTCACCGTCATCAAAAAATGACCACCAGCCGCTACTCTTCGAAAATATCACTAATTTTGTTTTGCTTGTGGAAAGTGAAATTCACTACAGCAGAGGAAGGTATAAAACTTTGGAAACAGTATCAACTATTTAAAACATGGGACTGCCAAACCATGATGCTTGCGAGTTTCAGAATGACGAACATTATGTTGTCCATGTTCCACAACTCTAATCAATTCAATTGGTTGTTGATATTAATTTGTGGTCTTAATACATACTTCAGACTTCAGTTTCAAGCCAATCCTAATTGAGGCGTCCCTTTAATTCGCTCATTCCTAAATGTCTGATCTTATTGCTTTGACTTCAAATTTTTTTCCCCACTTATAAATAGAATCAATGCACCAAACCACCCAAGGTGGCAAAGCAACAAGCAATCAAATGGAGTGAGATCAAGACTTCTAAAGCAAATGTGTTTTGGGGAATAAACTGTCTTCAAATTCAACAGCAAGCAATTTTAGACTATGTTTAGGGTGTCACCAATACCTATTAGAAGAATTTGCTCACTGCCGCTATCAAAGCCTTCCATTTCAATGAGGAACTGCGTCTTGAGGCGTCTGCTTGATTCATGCTCCCCTTCAGACTTCCGCTGCAACCATATATAGAGTTCAATGACGTTCTAGTTTCTGCCGCTAACTACAGCAATTAACCTAATGATTTCATACTTCTACCAGGAAAATTTAACAGGAGAGAACATTGCTTGAGCACAATTTTCTACTTACATGCATAAGCAGAGCATTTCAATTTAAAGACGTACATACTCTTTCTACCCTACTCCTACAATACCAAAATGAGCATCTATATGATCCCCTCCAGGCTTGTCAAGGGCGATAAGAATACTTCTTACCTGAGAAAGAAGAGAATCTATTTCATCAACAAATATTACAGCAGGCTGGCGACAATGTGCAACTCCAAAAAGCGCACGTACCAGTTTTTCACCTTCACCAATCTAAAAAACCCAATAAAAGTCAGAATTCTTTTTTTGTAAATGCTTCTTCGCTTATGGTGTATCATACATGCAAAACGAAGAGGAAATACACATCAGTAAAATAAGTCCAGCTAGAAGACGTACCCATTTGCTTGTTAATGAACTGGCAGATATGTAAAAGAAAGTTGCTTTTGCCTCTCCAGCTATAGCTTTGCCAATCATTGTTTTCCCTGTGCCCTAAAAGGGTAAAGCAATATACACACAGTTCATTTCATAAAAGTATCAACCTTCATCCCTCATATTGAATAGTATAATTCATACCGGAGGACCAAACAGAAGAAGACCTCTTCCTGGAGAACGACAGCCTTTAAAAATGTCAGGACGCAATAAAGGCCATATGACCATTTCTGTCACACACTTTTTAGCATGCTCCAGTCCCGCTACAAAATTATCCAGCAGCACGAGCATATTAGGACAACTTCACACACTATGAAGTGAAAAAAGGACTTAAATCTTTTTTTCCCATTTCTCGTCAAGACAGGAATGTTACATCTCATATTACCTATATCGTCCCAGCGAACATTAGGATCCCGATCCATAATCTCATTACTAACATGTTCAATGAGACGGGGTTCTAAGTTCCTCAATTTTTCTGGAAGCTCTCCATCAGGACCACAGAGCATTTCCAAACTGTATCATGCAACAAAATGCAATAGGAGATTACTATCATGCAATAAAAAGAATAAGACTGCTAAAACTTTTTGATCCATGAGCCAGGAAAATCAGAGATCACAGAGTGTTTATACAAAACCCAACCAGTTAATCACAATTCTTTACAGAAGAACACGTGTGTGATAAGTGTACTTCATGAATGAAAGTAATAAAGATAATTATAAATGTCTGGGAGTGGCACCGTGTGCTATTAACCTATTTGTGAACCTACCATCTCTTCGTGGAGTCATCTACTCCATCATCAGACTTTCCTGCAACTCGTGAAGTCACATTTCCCATGCTATTTCCATTGGATCTGATGGGGGGAATAAAATTACCCCGGACACCGCGCCTTAAGGAACCGTACGATCTCCCTCCATAGCCCCTACCAGTGGAATCACTTTGGGGAGACAGAGAAGCACTAGGTGATCCTGCCAAACCATGCTTTTGCCTTGCCTCCATTTCCTAAAAGCCAAAAAGCTTATGTAACAAGTCGCTCCATGTGACCACATATACAGAAGACCACATAATCCATTATCCACACTTAGCGAAAGAAGCTTTATGGTCAAACCAGATTCATTTGTCGCACATTTTGTCATAATAAACTTTGAACACACATTTACGTTCTTGATCTAAAGAGCCAATTTTTATCTGGGTACATAAAAGAATCCTAATTGTTTCATGCCTCAAGTCGCATAAAATAAATTTTTGAGTAACACTCTTTCCAGCTTCATCAAGTCCATCATAAAAAGAGGCATCCACTGGTTATAATATGTTAATATGTTCAAATTATATGGAATCAAAAGAAAGTACACTATCTATGCTGAATGAAAGGACTTCACATACATTAGGCAAAGTCCCACTGAAAATAACTTAAGAAAAGTGAGAAAAAATTCTCTTCTTAAAAGTTTTTTTCCACCAGCGGTTGAGAGGAAGATTAAGCATTCAAACATAACCATTGCGTAGGATGGTTCTATCTCATAAACTAATGTTTGCAGCTATGCCTGACATCATTTAAACGATAGATGTACTGTATTCCTTCCATATAAGAAAATAATGCTGTCCACAGTAGATAAAGAAGAAAAGAAAATAGTTCAACTGGCTAAATATCTTATTAAACAGAGAAACAGGTTGCAAAAAACAAGCAGATACCAATTTGGCTCTTGCAGTCACAAATCCATTGCCTGCCACATGACCATTAGATTCTTCATCATTAGATGGCGACTTCCCAATATCATTGCCAGGGCTACCTATTTCCATGTGAACACGCTTTGCCCCTAAAGCATTACCATGAGATCTCTCTTCTTCGGCCTTTGGAAATGGTGAGAGAATAGTACTCTTGGGATGGCTGCAAATAGGATGGGTTTTATCTAAAATAACACAATCCTCAGAGTTATTGCTCCTGGAACTCAGAGAATTCTTGCAGGGTCTGGTGCTTTGTCTATTAAGGTTGCTTCCATACAAAGATGCCAACTTTGCTTGTTTCAGATTTTTGGCTGTCTTATCTAACTTGTCCTTCCTATCTGACTGGTCATCCTGAGAGGAAGAAAAAATTTTGTTAGACATAATTGATCTACATCATTGGGTATGTTAGCAACATTTTCATCATGTAGGGATTAAGGATGGTGATCTTTAATTTCAAAAGTTTGTAAAGATAACAAATAAGTGGACACGCACACCAGAATAATGTATATCATAATTTCATACCATTTGCTTTGAATCTCCATTGGAATGCTGAAGAAGAGCACGAAAGTATGCTGACTGCTTTAATTTCTCCATGTCAATGCCACCCTTCATGCCAAAAACAGTACCAGGAGCTCTGTCTGCCAATTGAAATGCTCGGCTGGAGGTAGACAATCCATCACGAAAAGTACAGAACAGACAAGTAGTGAGCAATTACCAAATTATATTGTCCTTCCAAAGTTCTAGAAATTCGACAGTTTTTCAGTGCCATTACTTTCCTCACTCCTAGAAAACGAACTTGATCGGGGAAATGTCCAACCTTCGCAAACGATCAGAATGACTAGGGCTGAAATTGGAGTGTATTCGTGCTTTATATCGAGCATAGCTTTACTTAGATATTTGACAAGAATAGTGAAACAACATTGGAATGTAGAATCCGTTTTAGGTTCTATAAAAGCTCAACCAGTCAATGCAGGATATAGATTATTCAGTGAATTCATCTTCTGTACAATCGAGTAAACTAATCCAGGTCAATTAGCTCCACTTCTTTTTGACAAACGAACAATCAAGCGCTGTCCAACGCCCTCCAAATCAAACCTCATTTCCTCTCCACAACTAAGTTCCAAGGCAGATTTAGACTCTAACCTATAAGATTGACGAACGGAACACACACTGCACGATCGGAAGTGTAAACATCCAGAACAAAACGATCTAGAGAGAGAGAGAGAGAGAGAGAGAGAGAGAGAGAGAGAGAGAGAGAGAGAGAGAGAGAGAGAGGGGGGTTACCGATCGGAGTCGGGAGTGAGGGCCCGGCGAGCGGCGTCGAGCTTCGCGGAGGCCTCGCGGCGGATAGGGCGGACGAGGGCGGCGTCGACGTCGGTTTGAGTCTGGGAGTCGAGGAAGCCGAGGAGGCGGAGCGAGAGGATCTGGGCGGCGGAGAAGTCGCGGCGGTCCAGCGCGAGGTCGGCGCCGAAGAGGAGGGAGTGGAGGCGGTTCAGCTTCTCGTCCGCTTCCTTCCTCCAGCACGCCTTCTTCTCCTCGGATTCCGCCATTTTCGAGCTTCTCCAGCGAGAGCGAGAGAGCGAGAGAGATGGAGGAGCTGGTTCCGGTCCGCTTTTAGTTTTAGCTCTCTCTCTCTCTCTCTCTCTCTCTCTTTCCCGCCATCTTTTATCGTGGGCTTTTCGATTGGGCTTTTGAATTTTCTCATGTCAGCATTTAGATGGGCCTTGCAAATGCAAGGGTAAGGTCCTCTTTCTTTTTGCTTGTATAGATTGCACAGGATAAGATTTGACTAGCATTTCATCGGTAGACCTGATCAATGAGCAGACCTCGACGAGGAGAAGCTAATGTACCGAGCCTGAAAGTACTCACATAACCCACTCTTGATTAAGAAAAGAAAACATCGAGTCGTCTTCAAAGAAAACCGGGCCTAGGTGAGCGCGAGACCAAGAAGAATTCTACTTGTCTGATATCCACCCAAATTAGCGCTTCGATCTTGTCAAGTTCCATGTGAGAGAAAATAGTCAAACCTCATATACACAAACCAGCCAATCCCATTTTATATGCAATGCGACGTATGGTTAATGACATGGACCGACCTGAAGCCTACCATGCCAATAATACATTGGATCTAGACAACCGTTTTCCTCAAGAGGATGTTGCTTGATTCGATGCGTGGCACGGAGCATGCACTTCAATGCACTAGACACTTGATCGGGTGGCCGAAGCATGCGCCGCAATACGCCAGGCACCTGATGTCATTTAGGAACAAAACAGGTGGATATGCCTTTCTTTGGATAATCCATGGAAACTTCGTGATGTCATCTTTCTAGAAATCTTTCCTCATGCCCCAGTTGCCGTGGCTCCTTCACTACCAGATTATAACGGGCACTCTGCAAATCTCCAGGGCTCGGATCCTCGAAGATTGCAATGGTTGAATTACAAGTAAACAAATCTCGATCTTTCATTGAAAATCTTTAAGTGGTTGAGCCATGACCGCAGATATTGCATTCATCCAACAATTTACACTCGGAATGCAAATTAAAGAGTACTGCATTTCCTTATTCACAGGTTGAGCCCCGACCGCAGGACAAGGCAGTCTCATTCTTTATCCCAGCAGCATCTCACCCACGCAATGAATTCTATTCACTGCAATGAAACCAAAACATTGGCCCCTTACAATAAAAAACATCAGCAACCACCACCATTGACCATGAAGTTATCGAATGTGTACGAAATATCAAAACATGAACTACATCTCGGCCATACAACATGCAGAATCAATTGTATAACAGTTAACTTAACAACATGGCGTCCTAATCTCTTGACAGTAACAACAGAGGAGGGGTAAAGCAGCAGGCACACAACTATTTACAACAGGCATTGCCTTTTTAAATAAATAGTTCCACATCCAAGAGTTCCATCACTGAAATTATATCAAACTCCATATAACAGGAGGTGTGTGGATGTGATTCCAAAGCCGAAGCTACGCCACCAGGCCTCCTACCTCAAGTAGTCAACAACATGCATGATTGTAGGCGCCGAGCAAAAGGAATCTACGGTTCGCAGAGTGGCCCACCCAAAACCTCCCAAACATAGTTAAGTGCTTGGAGGAGCATCACTTCCAGTTGCTGGTTTGCGATTCAAGTACCGAATAACAGCATCTTCCACCCTATAAAAATAAAAACATAGTCATTATTCATCTTCATAAAGCATTTAGTCCAGAGGGTATGTTTTGCGCACTTAAGCAGAAACTCAAATCAGACATGACCACATCATAAACAGGTTGTAACGGTGTGCTGTGTAGCCAAAGTGATAATTCTGAGGTTCCATAGTGCAGGAAGAAATTTTAAGAGATGAAAAAGGCCCAAATGCATAAAGTAAGAAATTCCCAAATACATAAAGATGATGTAAATACCATGGCTGATTGAAGAAATCAGATCGACGCTCCTTTTCAGCACTACGACTAGCTTCTCCAGAAAGTAGCTTTAGATCTTTGCTTTGTGATTCAATGAGGGCATTAATAAATTCCACAGGAGATTGACTAAAGCCAAGGAAAAATGCCCGTCTCTTCCGGTGCTCGTGAATTTTTCGTATTGCAGAATATATTGCCTCATCACAGGCATCAATCTCTTTGTTCTTCTCCACATTCGCCAACAGCACAGACAACTCCCTCTGAATGGGAATGGGCACATCAACTAGCACATCATAGCATGCAGTTCCAGCTGGACTATTTCCTGAAAGCTTGATTTTGTGCTCCAAATGTATCGGCTGTGGTGAAGATAAATGATTGGAGATCTTCTGCGAAACCATAGTAAATTTCATCTTCTCTTCCCCAAACACTTTCTGAAGAGGCGGGTCACAGTTAAAAAATGAGGGATCATTTGGGTTCTGCAATTTCCTGGCCTTCACATAATGCCAGATTGCAGTAATAATTCTTGGTCTAGTCTCAACTTCGATGCCAAGAACTTCCATCAAAGCTGGTGACAGCTTGAATTTCTCAGGCACATAATTCATTTCCAACCGGATAGTCACCGTAAACTCTTTATCCCCTTTCCGCTTCACCTCAAATCCCTCTTGAGGAGCAGACGATCTAGAGTTCTCCCAAACAATCACAGGGTTTTCAGGATAAAGTCGCTGGTCCAAAGAAATAGTTACTCTCCTGAAGAAAGATGAAAACTTTGGGTATAAAGGGTTTGATTTCTGAACTACTCCAGGCTGATCAGGATCCACCCCTTCCTCCAAGATCCTCCCAATTATCTTAAGGGTCCAAGTAGGCGGCTCAGCATTTGGCTTCTGAGGTATCGTGCGAATCTGGTTGGCAAATGTATTGAAGACATAAATCCTAAGTGTTTTCTGAATGCATGGAGGGTTCTTCAGGGCTTCCTGTATGTCAGTCTTCTTTCTCGCAAGAGCAGCATCAACGCGAGACTCAAACTCAAGGAGCTGCGTGTACAATGCGGACTCAGGAAGGATTGCTGCCACTCTGTCTTGTAGCTGCTTCTCGGGGACCTTCTGCTTCTTCTTGCGAGCAGCTGAAGCAAGCTCCATTTGTTTCAATGGCGAAATCATGGTGTTCATAGGGACTCCAGGAGGTCGCATCGGGGGCTTTTGAGGTAAACGCTTCGCGCTGCCACTTCCAGGCGTGGACATGGAGGGTGAAGGCGAACCCAAATTCCCAAGGCTTCCCATTTGACTGAGAGAAGCTTGCAGCTGCGCTTGGAACTGGGGGTTCACCGCTTGCATTTGAGCTTGCGCATGAGCCTGCGCCTTCGCCTGCGCCTGCGCGATGGCTTGCGCTTGCGACAGCTGAAACTGCGCCTGAAACCCGGGCCCACCTTGACCCTGCGCTTGCCCGAACGCAGGGTTCGTGGGCATAGCCGAGTTCAAGATGGCAGCATTCCCAAAAGGAGACGAAGAAGCCGGAAGGTTTCTAGACGGGTTACTATTGTTATTCATGGAAATCACCCAGTACCCACCAGCTGAAATTACCTCACCAAGACGGACACACTCCACAGAAACCTAGTATCGACTAACACACAGGCCCCAAGCCCCCCATACAAGAATCTCGGATAGCTCAGGAGACAGGACCCAAAGTTTCCCAAAACATAAAAAACAAGAAACGCCAGGAATCAAAACAGCTCCTTTGTCATAAATGAAAGGCGTTTAACTTGGCCAACAAATGGGGAAAACCTTAAACCCTAGGCTCGAAGTTGCGCCGCACCTCCGAACAAGAAACTGATCTCACGCTAAGGGCTAACCGTCAGGATACATGTACAAGCGCCATGAAATGGAAGGGGGGAAAACAACAACAGATTCACGATCTGCTTCCCGCAGGATGTGGAAATCGGAATTGAGGACGGGAAAGTGCCCAATTCTCGCGAATCAAGGCGAGGAAGCAAGCAAGTAAGCGACTTTACAGAGAAGCACCTTACGTGGTTCGAGGGTAGCGACCGAGCTTTCGGATCTGTCGCAGCTTCGCTTTCGCTTGTCAATGGCGCAGAGAGAGAGAGAGAGAGAGAGAGAGAGAGAGAGAGAGATCAGCTTGCTACGGCCCTTCCCTCTCTTCTTGCAGGATCGTGCCGAGTAGGTCAAAATGAAATCAAATTTGGGGATGCGGATCCGGATCCAACATGACCGGCCCGATCTTGTCTCGGGTCGGCTAGGACGTAAATGGGCCGGGCCGGGCAAAAGCCGACCGCCGAAGCACATTCTTCAGTCTTTTGCGTGCTTTTTCAACATCATAAATTTTTTATTTGGTCCGATGGATTTGTTCAGTTCGTTCGGCTCTCTCGATTATCCAACGAATAAATTACAGCTCCCGATTATTATTGTAGTATCGTTACGCGGTTGTTAAAATTTGTAAATGTAATTAACACTTAACAGACGAATTAGGCACATTTAAGTAATGCACGATAGGTGCGCATAGATGTCGACTCGATTCGATTCGACTGGTTTCGATTTTATTATCGCTCGCGGTGCTTGAAAGAACCTCGGACCTATCGATCCGAACCAAATTCTATTCGGCCACAAAAAATAAGAACGCCGGACCAATTTCTATGTGAACCTATGTGTTTCCAACTGCGCATTCGCTTAGTTGGCATTTTTTTGATTAATCGGCTTTATTCGACACCTCCCGAATTACACACTTAGTATGCGTTATCAGGCTCAATGGACAAGCCTAGACCCATAGAAACGACGCATTGCTTGTTGAACGTAGTGTGCGCATTCCAGTTCGATACCCCCCATTCGGGATTTTTGCTTAAACGGGATTGAATCGAATGAATCTAGAGAACGTGAGCTTGATTCAGGTAAACACAGATGCATTGCTTGAGTTGAGGTGATCTGTGGCTGTCTATCTGCTAAAAAGATTCGTCTGTTGAGGTTGTTCTCTCTGTTGAATTCATGTCGTTTGTCCCCAGAACAGGAAATCTGCTACTCAAATCATTCTCTGAGGAACTCTCAATCTGCAAAGTCCGAGTATGGTGCTTCGGCGACTATAATGTCAGTTGTAACATGGTGTCTTGAATAAGCATCTGCTGTGAGCAGGGAAGTAAGTTTCGCAATCTGCTTGTTTTTCTAATATCATTGAAGAGCAATGCAAGAAAGCACGTGTTATTCAGGCAGCATCCTGTTCTCTCGTTGCAGATTAGTTCTCGCGCACAGATGACTCCGCGCGCCAGATCGAGAGAAAGAGAGAGCAGAAAGAGAGAGCTGCAACCCTCTTCTATGATGTTGCGGCACCATCAACTAAGTCGTTTGAGGATGCGTTTAGTATCGCAGATCTTCTGCAGTCCGTCTCGAAGAAAAGATGAACTGAAAATCTTGCGCAACTTAACCGAGGTCCAGCAACAAATGGAGCTCTCCATTCAGGCATGAAAATTTTCTTATTACGAGTTCAGAAAGAAAACAAACCATGATAGAAACACTTGCCCGTAATTTAGAAAGACAGAGGCACTTGAAATAATCATCAAGTTAGGAGATAGAATGGCACAAGATAGACTACAGCCTGAGTTATGAAATTAACCCAACTGTGATAATGCAAGTTTGAATATAACAGCCATCTTCTTGGGACAAGCTATGTGTATATGCTTTAGTGAGACCAGCTACTCGGATTGCTCATGTAGCACTTTATTCGGGTGCTCACATCGCAAGTCACCCGTCAAAGTTCAAGCCATCATAACACAACAATTCCAGATAAAGGGACTAGAACTGTTCTTGCCACAACCAATAGGCGTCCACTGCAGTTCCTCAGTGTCTGGATCAGGGCAGCAAGTGAAGATGGTCATGCCATGGCCGGTGTCCGAAGCCGAGGATGTGCCTATCACGAGCAACTTGCTGCCCAGAGATTTGAACGCGACACCCCATCCTTTGCTGAAATCAGCTCTTATAGGAACTGGCCCGAGCCTCTTCCAAGAGTTGCTGCTCTTGATATACACCTTCAGCTCATTCGAGGATGTCTCGAGAGTGTAAAGCTCATTGTTCACAACGGCAAGGAGGGGCGGACAGTGGGAGGTCGAGACGGGCATGTCTTTCAACATGTCGGGGATTATTTCCCATTTGTTTTGGCTCTCATCGAAAGCTTCCGCGCACGTGAGGTCGTTTCCCTGCTCATTCTTGCCACCAATCACGTAGAATTTCTTGTCCATGTAACAACCAGAACACATCTTCCTCCTTTGATGCATCATAGGAAGCCGATCCCACAACTTAGTCTCGGGATCATACTTCTCAGCAGAATTAAGAACTTCCTTTTTGCTGCCTATACCAAACCCACCAGCTACAAAAGCATAGTCACCACAAGTGGCGGAAGCAAACAAGCACCTTGGGTTCTTCATGGAGTTGCCCTTGAACCACTTATTTTCAGCCAATTCGTATCTCCAAATCACAAGGCCATCGATCTCGTTGCCCGAAACCATAAGGTGAGTACCTGCACAAAGTGTTTCCTTGTCTCCGGCGGAAAAGCATGAGTCAGAGGGTAATATAGGAAGATTCCGGCAAGATTCGGACTGCGGATCAAATGCCCACCAACTAGTTTCCCCGCTCGCCAACATAAACACAGATGGCTCTTTAACTCCAATCTCCCTCCTGATTTTGAAGATCTCTCCGCTCTTAATTAAAGATAAGAACCGCTTGTTGACAGTGGAAAATTTCCAGTATAAAGATCTTGGCACCCTAGCCAGTATCAAGGCCTCCAACTCATCGCTGAGCGATGGAGTGTAATCTGCATCCTGAGGTTCCACAACTGAGGAACTACCAATCCTGCTAGAACTAGAAGATGATTTTTTCTCCGATTTTGTTTTAATCTCGCGACCCCCTGACTTTGGCGGTGGGCATATCTGAGAATCGTCCCAAGGAGCACCGCCAAAGTCCAAGTTGAGCACGGACCCTTTGATGCATCCGTCAAGGTCCATGGTTGCTTTTTCTTCACCATCTGAACCCACCATGTTGGCCCTTTCTTCTTCACCATCCAAGTCTTTTCCTTTCGACATTGGCCAAGACTAACTTGAAAAGCTCCAAGCCTTCTGCAAAAATTTTAACTGAATTATTACAGCTAACCCAACGAAGAAGGCGCATCACGATTCACTTGGCATATCTACCAAAAAGATGATGGTCATTACCGCAAGGCCACCCAATTTTTACACTATGAAGCTTGCTCAAAGATGCATAACAAATGATATACAGACGGAAAGAACACAAGGATCGCACATATGATGTACAAAGACAACTGGAAATTAACCTTCTTCATGTAATTGGTCTTCAAAAGGGATGGTACAAAACAGAGCTAATATTTCACGAGTGAAAAATTCCGAACAGATTAACTTCTCACCGGCCAAATACTGATGACAACCAGAACTTCAACAAAAACACAGAGAAAACATGCGTATGCCAAGTGCTGAGCATCAGGTTTTAGCACTATCATCATATTACACCCAGCAAAGAGTGGGATTATCAAAACTAAGGAACTGAGGAATGTAACATCACGGTACAGACATAAAGCCAGATGACACCAAAGATTTTTTCAGGCCTCAAATCATCGGAGTTCCAAGAAACATGCCCTTCAAGTGCAAACATTGCAAGAAAGTTACCTCTGTGGAACGGAGACGCCCACCCCACTTACCCCACAGCCCAGAACGACACGGACTTCCTCTCATACACAACACACCAACTCAAGACTCCAATATAATAACATGTCTGAACGGGGAAGCCGGAGCCGAAGCCCAAACCGAAACCGAAATGGGTCAAAATGGAAACGCATGCAAAGCAGTAAACGCAGCGAGGGAGGGAGAACCGGTCAAAGGGGGGGGCGCACCTGAGGAGAAGCGGTCAAGTCAAACGAAGTTTTGAGTGCAGTTTGGACTGAGACGAGTAAAGATGGGAACGGTTACAGAGGAAGCAGATGGAGGAGGAGGAAAGACTGGGAGGGATCATCGGGCATCTGTTGGTATTAGCAAAACCCAAAAGAGCAAAAACGGCCTTGAATTTGGAGTAAAGGAGGAAGGGGAGAGAGAGAGAGAGAGAGAGAGAGAGAGAGAAGGAGAGAGTGTGTGGCGGAGAAAATGAAATAAAAATTGCAACTTGGGGAGGAAGGAGAAGGAAAAGGAGGAGGCCCCTTATTTTTAAATGAAATTGGCAACTTTAGGTGGGGCGGATTAATTGCTTAATCTAGTGGGAGTACAAAATTTTGTTGGGTTCCAAGTGTGAAGATCGAATTTATTATGGGAACACTATTCAAACCACCAACACCATCTTGGATTCACAAAATCAATGTTAGAAGAGAATAATAAAAGGAGATTTTTTTAAAAAAATAATCACTTTTTTTTCCCTCCTTTAACCCACATAGAAACCCATGATTTTTCGAATCATGATTTTTACAAATTCCACGAAAGCATAATTGCTTTAAAAGGTTCTTGGGACTACTTTCATCGGTCGATAAGCATTATGATGCCAAACATGGCGAGGAGCCTAACGCAAAATCTGGCCACGAAGTAGGAAAAGATGCCCAAATTTGGCAAATCAAAAAGCACGCATATCGTGCCAATCGGTCAAAAAGTTGGTCGTGTAATTGTAAGGGTCCGGTGGATAATCTAGTAATGTATTTGTTGTATTAAAGTTTCATATTACACTACAAGTTGCTTATTTCGACAAAAAAAAGGGAAAATGACTCTAACGGTTCATGAACTTTGGTTTAATGTGCAATGCAATTAATGAACTTTAACCTAATGTGCAAATGATGTACCTGAACTTTTAATATGTTCAATATAGTCTCTGAACTTTTGGTACATATTTAATTTAGCCCATGGATTAAATGTTATCTCTGAACTTGAATTAATGAAATAACAATATTGAACATTTTCATATACTTTAGGAATCACGTTAAACAAATTAAAAATTCAGGGATCACGTTGCATATTGAATCAAAGTTCATAGGATATTTGAGTTATTATAAAAAAAAAATACTTGAAGTTGCTGATCAAAAGAATGTCAAAAATTGATGGCTCCATTGTCACCCCATAGGCGCACTTTAGCTTCACCAGTCATAATCTGTCATTCCATGTATCTAGGCACCTATATATCCATCATGAAACGTCAATCGGAATGTCTCTTGTACTAACCATAGACAAAACAATCATTTACATTGTCCTCCAATTAAAATGACTATCATTAACGGCGCCATGTCAAAAGATCTACACCCATAGCTTGTAACGTCATTCAAATATTAAACCATCCGTTTACCTAACACCATCGCGTTAATTGCTTGAGTTGTACTTGTAACAGGTAATTTTTTTATTAGTGATTTGTCACTTTAGGACTTTCGGTGCACTTATAAAAAGAATACAAAAAATTGCAATTAAGATTGTAAGATCTTGAAAGACCACCACCATTTGCATTTATTTAAAAATGTTAAGATGTTAGATAAAGCATGATTTAATATTGACATTTTAACACTCCGTACATGGAGGCGCTCGTCTTCATGCGTAGGCTGGACAGCAGTTTAAGCTCCTCCTCACCCGTAGGTAAAGCTATTAGATAAATGGCACTCATCCTTATGCGTAGGCTAGACAACAGTTTGAGCTCCCCCTCACTCATAGGTAAAGCCATTAAATAAATGTGCGGTTTAATATTAATATTTAATGCTCTTCCTCACCCGTAGGTGAAGTCGTTAGATAAATTCGTAATTTAATATTAATATTTTAATGCTCCTCCTTAAGTGTAGGTTGGACAGCCTAAAACATAAAAACATGTAATTGGATAGGTAAATAAGGGGTCCAAAAGATTGATGCAATCGGGAAGGCAAATAGAACCTTGGAAGATTTGAACTCGAGATTTCCTCATTTAATATTATGTGAAATTATATGGGATTATTGTCAACTGTTCTAAATATTTAAATTGCCAAATGAAAGCTTGATTTAATAGTGATATTCGAATAGACTTATATTAATATTACAAAGTGAAATTCCATGTTCAAAGTGGCATCATGAGTAATCTCTTCTCATGAAAAGTCTAATCAGAAATGCTATGGGTGTAATGATGAGATCTGCACACACGCACACGCACATTCACACCATGCATCTTTCTTCTTACTTCTTCTTCTTGCCTTTAAAGAGTGAATCGATTGTCTAATCCAAAGTTAGTAAGAGGAAAGGTACTCCCAAAGCCGTTCGCTGTTGGAGCAAATGACCCAACAAGACAAACCATTTTTGCTCATAGCCGAAACGGGCATAAAGCGTGGACCAAAACGTTTGGGCATTCGTACTAGTGCGATGCTTTTGCATTGTCTGTTGTCTTTCGTTTCTCTTTCTTTCTCCTTTGCACACTTTGCAAGGAAAAATTATTCAAAAAGTATAAAACCTATTACATTTTTGCCAATTCACTTCTAAACATTTTAATTGTGTCAATTGATTCCAAAACATTTTTACGTTTTATCAATTAAATCCATCCGATTAATTTTGGCCGGAAAACGTTGTCATAGACTCACAACCATCTTACATGGCACACCAGAACTAACGTTGAAATTTTTAATAATATTTTAATATTTTGTTCAATTTCTTTTTTTTCTTTCGTTTTTTTTTCTCTTTTCTCTCTTTACTTTTTTTCTTTTTTCTTTTTCCCTCTACCAGCCATCTCCAGCCTTGGGCGAGGGCCGCCCTCTCTGACCTGGGGTGAGGGTCACCCACGCTTGGCCTGGCGAGGGCGGCCCTCGCCAGGCCATACAGAGGCGAAGGTGCCGAGCTAGGCGTGGGCCTTCTTGATGGGGTTGTTGATCTTGGTGATGTGATTGCCTCAACACCGCCTCTACATGCCCTTGTACTTGAGCTCACTAGCGCTGAGGGGTTGTGGTGGTCGCTCTTTAGGGCCGATCCAGCGAGTTCTGGGACGTTGTCGAGCGTCATAGCAGCTCTCCTTCGAATCATGCTGAGAGAGAGAGGGAGGTGGAGGCGGAAGGATCGGAGAGGAAAGAGCAACAAGGGCCAGAGCTTCTTCCTCTTGTTCAAGCTCCAGTTACCCCCTTTCGCTAGGCTGGCGAGAGTTGCCCTTCACCAGATTTGGCAAGGGCGACCCTTGCTAGGGGCAAGTGACCTCTGTTGGCCATCAACAAGACTTGGCGTGGCCGGTGGAGGGAAAAAAAAAGAAAAATAAATAAATAAATAATTCGAAAAAATATTAAAATATTATTAAATGTCCACATCAACACCGATCATGCCACGTAGGACGACTGGTATCCACGTTAACATTTTCCAACAAAAATTGGTCAGATTGACTCAAATTGGTAAAACGTGAAAATGTTTAAGACTCAATTAGCATGATTAAAAGGTTTAGGATTGAATTTGTAAAAAGTTGGGCAAGGCTTGCCTCTGCCGAATTTGGTGAGGGTCGAACCTCACCGGTGGTGGGAGCCAAGGGTGACAAGGCTCGCCCACACTAGTGGCTGGCGGGGGAGAGCTTCGCCTGAGGCTAGCGAGGTCTACCTTGCCTTTGGCCGATAGATGAGGTCCAGTGATCGATTGAAGGAAGAAGGAAAGTATAAAAAAAAAAGAAAAAAAAGTAAATAATAAAAAAATTGAAAAAAATATTATCAAAGATTATTCACGTCAGCGCCGATCATGCGACGTAGGATAACCGACATCCACGTTAGCGATTTCCAACCAAATGGATTCAATTAACAAAACGTGAAAAGAGATTTGAGACTCAATTGGTACAATTAAAATGTTTAGAACTAAATTGACAATAATGCAATAAGTTTATGATTTTTTTGGACAATTTCCCTTAAAACCGCCGAACGATAAAGGATTGGCTTTTTCGTAAGGACACAATCGATAGAGTTATTATGGCAACATTTCGCGAATAAAAACCACCAAAACAGAAACCCTTCTTTGCTAAGTAGAAGAGGAGAGACGTCACATAGAGCCAAGAAACCAATTTTTTTTAAAAAAAACCACGAAACCTAACCTAAGATTAGTTTAAGTCAAGACCAATAGTAACAGAAGATGCCACGCCTTAACCCTAGAAAGTGGATGCCCGTTGGATAAGCTTTCCTTTCCCCTAGCGTTCTTTGTTTTCCCTTCTTTCCTTGTGTGTGTGTGTGTGTGTGTGTGTGGGGTGGGGGTCTTTTCATGTTAGTATGCAAATATAATATGAACGTGATTCTTGTGTTGTCCTTCCCACTCGGGAGTTTATGTCCCCTTCCTCGCCATTTTTATAATCCTAGAATCACTGTCGCAATCGCTTAGGTTTCGCAATTGCCCTCGACACTTGTCTCCCCCCATTTGCTTCCAAAAGAATAATATGTGTGCATGTATATGTGTGTATGAATTGTATCAATAGAAAAACCGATCTTTCTTTGTCAAGAAACTGAGCCTTGATTGGCTCCAGGACAGATCCTAGTCAGCTTTCAGCCCACGGATTAGGAAAAAGAGCATTCCTGGGAGAGCAAACATTAGCCCTAATATTCAATTCTCCCACTAATTCAGCTTTTCATTGGTTCACATCCCTAATATTCTTTTATTTCTCTCTCTTTTAACCATTTTATGCTGCCTAGTTCAAATAAAAGCAGATTTGAACGGCTCACTTGCAGAAACTGGTCACTTTCTGGGGATGCTCTAATGTTTAATGGGCTGATCCAGAGCTTCCTTTTCCTTCTTCTTGTTTTCATCCCTTCTCTCTTTACTATGGTTATTATTGTTCGTTTTGTTATGATCCAGAGGCGCGGCTGCGGAGCTCCAACAACTTAAAAACTCATGTCACGTCTTTTCAAGCCCTATAAGCCGGCGAAATTCAGATTTTTGGCTCGTACAAATGGATGTGACCGAGAGGAGTTGGGATGCAATCGATGGGATTCGAACGGGTAATTTTCAATTGCCGAAATAATAAACAAAGTCTTTTGTCCCCTAAAGAATAATCAGTTCAGACAAAACAACATTAAGTACCTGCATAGGCTTTGTTGGGATGCTAATGTAGGACTGAATATACGATGTAAGTGCATGATATGATGAGTTCAAACAAAGAGCACCCAGGTAATGATGCTTTTGAGAACTAATTTGAGCCT